GATTATGTTTACAGTCTTTGTGAATGTTGTAGGCTGCCACTTGATCGGTTAAGTAGGGGACATGCCGAACACATTTATTTTTAGAAAATTAGGTGTCGGTCAGGCACATGCTGTGGTAGGACTCCAGCAGGGAGTTGTAGTGCAAATAGTGTTTGCCTAGCTGATGAGTGGGTCAGACTCCGATGAGGGTAGAGTTGACGATGCGAGGCTGACACGTTCGAGATCACTTAGGGTCCCACACGTGTTTCAGGCCCTACAGTCAAGAGACGAAAGACGACTTCGTGCCGAAGTTAGACCCCGTGCTTACGCCGCAGCCAGGGAAGCAGCACTAGCTGCAAGTCAGGCGTTAGCAGCAGCAAACGCTGCAGCTAGGGAAAAGGCAGCAGCAGCAGCCAGCACAGCAGCAATGGCTACTGCCGCAGCCTCCTCTGCTGCATCCTCGTGTGGGACCCAGTTGGGGATGCCCCATGGGCCCATGGGTACTTCGCGATCAGTAGGTTCCAGTCAGTCCACAAGTCAAATGGCGGGCTCGCAGTTCAATCCGTTGAACCCACGCGGCAGAGAGCTACTAGAGCTCCAACAAGTCGAGAGGATCTGCACATGGTTAGAGAGGGAACTGAAGCAAGCTACCGATAGAGAAAATGAGATAATAAATAGAACAGCCGGGCTAGATACGTTAGAGGCAGACAAGGCTGCATTAGAGGAGTTAGATGAGTCAGCAATGTCTGACGCAATGAAAGTATAAAGGTCCAGCATACTATCACTGCATGCGCATGTAGACAGCAGGTTGGACTTCATGCAGAACTCCTTGGACCAAATCTTGGACCTTTCGCAAAGGCCAGGATTACGGCCAGCAGCACAGTCGCCGTTGCCGTTAACGGCGATGTCAGGCCCCTTTCCGGTACAAGTTGGCACACAACCAAGTGGTACGTCTGCAGCAGCCGCACAGACTGTTGCTTCTTCTTCCGGTCCAGCGGCTGGAGCTACACCACCGCCGCAACAAGTTGTTCCACCTCGGGGACAGCAGCAAAGTCCATGGCACCCAAAGACCCCGATGAAGCCACGCCTTGCTTTCTCTGGTGAGAAGAAGGACGAGGAACTCAACACTTGGTTGAGGACGGTTCCGATATGGGTGAGGGCAAAGAGGACGTTGCCGGAGGAGGAGGTGATTACTGTTGCATCTTACCTTGAGGGTAAGGCAGCCAAGTGGCTGGATGGGATAGTAGCTAAGGCTGGGTTCGGACGATGCATGGCAGACTAGGGTAAAACCCCCTCACTTCAGAAGAGTTATTGGATACGGTAGAAGCTCGCTTGCATAATCCGCAGCAGGCACAAATTGCCACTGATGCGATGCTCAGACTGGACCAGCGAAGGTACAAGTCTGTTAGAGAGCTGACGTCTACCGTAGAGAACCTCGTCGTCGTTCCCGGCATACACTATGATGACCAGGTCTTATTGACCATATTTCTGAGATGTCTACCCGAGAATCTCATAGCCTTACTGCCCAGCGAGGCTCGCCTCGAGTATCATTCTTTTGAGACCTTCTCTAGAAAGGCCTTGGAATTGGAGGCTACCCTAAGAAGTGCTCAACCTACTCCAGTAGACGGGAGGAAGAAGAAGAGTCCACAGGAATGGAAAAAGAAGGGTAGTAGATTGATGATGGTCGAGTCTGATGGGACTCAAACTGAAATCGAGGAACTCACCGACTTGATGGACAATTCAGAGTACGACGGCGAGGAGATCGCTGAGGGTAGCACCCTTGCCGCAGTAGTCAAGGTAAAGGCAGGTGGCCGCGGAAAAGGCGACCATCAAAAGAGTCAAGGGCAGGCCGCTTCCAATCAGTCCAAAGTAGCAGATTGGGTTAAGGCAGGCCTTGATCGGGAAGTGTGGCAAGACCGCCGAGTGCGTGGTGCTTGCATCAAATGTGGTGAATACGGACACACCCAGTGTAAGTGCAAGAACGCAAAGGTCACGCAGAAGATACCCCCTAAGGGACGGGTGCCTTCTTCCCAGGTTGGAACCAGTTCCAGCTCGAGAAACACTTGAGGCCGGTGGAAGTTTTAGCTGCTAGTGGGCCAGATACCCTCCCCACTTCATGAGATGGCCATAGCTAACGACTCTTTAGTCACCCCGCAGACACACCCAGACCAAACCATGCTCTGTCCGTTGGATGTGTCTGAAGCCTTAGAGGACTTACAAAGCGAATGGTCGAATAGTGATCCACGCGAGTCCTGGGTGGCACTAAGTGCACGTCCTAGAGGGGAACATTTCGTAGTGGAGGTTGTTGTAGGAGACCGCAAATGTGGTGCCTTCATAGACATCGACTCCACCCGGAATTATATAAGTCGCGATTGTTTGGAAAGGCTGCGTCTAAAGGACCAGGTGCAGCACCTAAGTAGATGTGTAGCATCTGCTTTGGCCAATAAGGAGCGCATGGTTGTCCCAGACTATGTCAAGGATGTAATCTGCACCTTCTCCTACGGAGGAGGGGAACTTAATCACAAGATTTTGTTCCTGGTTAGCGACGACTTACCATTTGATATGTTGTTAGGAATGTACTACCTTGAGGTTGCCAAGCCCCAGCTTGACTGGGACAAGAAGGTGCTCAAGCATAAGTTGCCTGATGGAAGGACCGTGAGACTGGCCAAGCATAAGGCTAGTAGGTTACTAGAATCCTATGACTGCTTGTGCGCATCAACATTCAACAATTACTATAAACAGAACCAAGACGCGGGCATGTACCTAATGTCTGTCTCTTAGAAAGGGGAGGCTGTTAAAACACCCCCAGAGATAGAACACGTCGTTGCTAAGTTCCCTGATCTGTTTAAGGAACCTACAGGAATCGTAGAAAGGGAGATTGTCCACGCCCTGGAAATCATTTCAGGGAGTAAAACCCCAAAGGGAAGGATCTATAGGATGGCTTCGGCTGAGTTGGACGAACTTCGGCGACAACTAAAAGAACTCACAGAGAAGGGATGGATTCGGCCTAGTACTTCCCCCTTCGGATCACCAGTGTTATTTGTACCAAAGAAGGGGGGGTCATTGAGGATGTGCATTGATTATAGAGGCCTCAATGCCATCACTGTGAAGAACGTTGAGCCTCTACCACACATTGATGACCTATTGGATAGGGTGCAGGGATGTAAGTACTATTTCAAGATAGATTTAAAATTCGGCGACCATCAGATTGCCATAAGACATGAGGATCAACACAAAACGGCATTTCAGACCAGGTACGGTCTGTACGAGTTTGTGGTGATGCCCTTTGGCCTTCGCAATGCGCCGGGTACATTCCAGGACCCATGAATAGGATCTTCCATGACTACTTGGACAAGTTTGTCGTCGTGTACCTCGACGATATTCTTGTCTTCTGCAAGTCTGTCGAGGAACATGCACAGCATTTGGAGATTGTTCTCTCACTCCTGCGGCAGCACAAGTATAAGGTCAACTTAGAGATGCGAGTTCGGACGCACTAAGATCTTGTACTTGGGTCATATCCGCGGTAGGGATTAGGCCGAAAGATGCAAAGGTGGCTAGTATAAGGGACTGGCCACGACCTCAGACTATTACTGAGGTCAGATCTTTCTTAGGAATGTGCGGTTACTATAGGAACTTCGTGAAGAATTACTCTACAATCGCCTCTCCTTTGACTGATCTCACTCGACTTGACACACCGTGGGAGTGGAGTGACGAGTGTGAGGCTACTTTCAAGCGATTGAAGCATGCCCTCATGAATCATGAGGTTCGCATGGTGCCCGATCCTCAGAAGCCTTTCATTGTGACCACTGACACAAGCCAATACAGCATTGGCGCAGTGCTGGCTCAGCAAGATGGGAAGATGAGACCGATAAAGTATATGAGCAAGAAAATGCCATCAAAGAAACTGGCAAAGTCCACCTACGAAAGGGAACTCTATGCCCTCTACAAGGCACTTGTCTATTGGAGGCACTTTCTGTTGGGGCGGTTTTTCTATTTGAGAACTGACCATCAAACCCTCAAATGGATCAAGACTCAACCTACTCTTTCTGATGCACTCAAGCGTTGGATTGAGGTCATAGATCAGTATGACTTCAAGCTGGAGTATCTGAAGGGAGAGTACAACAAGGTTGCGGATGCGCTGGCACGTAGGGCAGACTACCTAAGGGCGCTAGTTTCCAAATTTGGCGTATCTGAGGAAGTAACTCAATCATTGATGGGAGCCTATCAGGAAGACCCTGTCACGATGGATATCATACGCAAACTGCAGGGGAAAGATAAGGCCACAGAAGATGAGTTTGTGATCGTGAACGGCCTACTCTTTCTTGAAAAGGACGGGTTCAAAAGGTTAGTTATTCCATCTATTGAACAATTGCGTACTTTATTTTTAGGGGAATGTCACGACGCAACAGGACACTTCGGCTACAAGAAGACAAGCGCTAATCTGATACAGCGATTCTGGTGACCCAACATGCTAAGCGATGCTAGGAAGTATGTACAGACTTGCCAAGTCTGTCAGCGAGACAAACCACACACTCAAGCACCGCTTGGATTGTTGAAGCCTTTGCCCATTCCCGCTGGTCCAGGACAGAGTGTCTCCATGGAATTCATGGACACCCTGGTAACCAGCAGGAGTGGGAAGAGGCACATCTTCGTCGTAGTTGACAGGTTTACCAAGTATGTGAGACTAATAGCCATGTCGAAAACAGCAAGGACTGAGCATGTCATCAAGTTATTTATGGACAACTGGTTGTGTGACTTTGGGCTGCCTAAGACCATCGTTAGTGATAGAGATGTCCGCTTTACAAGTGAGTTCTGGAAGAAGACTGCTGAACAGATGGGCAATCAACTTCAGATGGCTTCAGGGAATCATCATAAAGCCAACGGACTGACCGAACAAATGAACCGGGTTGTAAAGCATCCGCTGAGGCATTACATAAAGCCCAGCCAGGATGACTGGGATGAGAAATTGCCTCTCATCGCCAGCCTGTATAACAACGCCGTGCACAGCACTACTGGCGTCAGTCCAAATCAGTTGCACTTCGGATGGAAGCCTAGATCTGCCCTAGACTTCCTCCTGCCAGAAAACCGACCTGTTGCAACACTTGGAACCATGGAATACGGTGTCCAGTATGAGAAGTTGCTGCAGCAAGTTGTCGAGCACATCAAGAAATCCCAGGAAGTCATGATTGCTTCTGAGAACAAACATCGTCGACAATCCACATTTCAGGTAGGGGAACGTGTCTGAGTAAAGGCTAGTGAGCTAAGACAGGAGTTCGACATCTCTATAAAACTAATACCACAGTATTTTGGTCCTTGGGAAGTCGTGGATGTAGTAGGTACTGATTTGGATGGTCCCTCACACGTTATCCGAATCCTTGGACACCTGCGCACTGTCTTTCGTGCCTCAAAGCTTGCACCTTCCGCTGAGACAGATCAATTTCCTTCAAGGAGATCAATGCTGCCCCCAACCATGGATGGCCACGTGGACATCAACAACATTGTGTATCACAGACACATGCCTGTTCCAAAGCCACTGGGTCAAGGAAGACCTCCAAAACCCAAGAAAGAGTATCGTGTCAGATTCAGGCATCATACGGATCCGAAAGAAGATCGGTGGTTCACCAGAGAGGAACTGATTGACACAAGAGGAAAGCATATTAAAGGGGAAGGCACCTGCGAAGTAAGCATCTCAGCGGACTTTCGATCCACAAGAGACCTTCCTTTCAGCATTTCACGAAGTGGGTATCAAACAGTTGCCGCACGCCAGTTGGTTGGAGTGCATCGTGAGCCCAGACTCCTGCAGAGGCAGTTAAGGCCAGGGCCTCAGTTGGTTGAGCCCTGGGCACCTGTCTGGGAGGCCGACACATCACACGTTGGACGCTGGCCTATGGAAAAGCAGCATTGTGTCGTAGAGGTCGGGCAAACCAATGGGAAACCGAAACGGGGTCTGAATCTGGACGATGGCCCCGGCATAAGGGGCGCAACTGCAATATCTAGGGCCCATCTGTGTTGGGCCTGGGCCCAGGCGCAGGCTCGAGGGAGGCCGCCCACACGCAGCAAGGCATATAGGCAGAATGTGCGAGTGGGCAGTGATCTTGGGCAATGCAGGCATTGTGGGCACGCTTCTGCATTGTAGCGCGGGTGCTCGCGCTATGCTCTAGCTGAGAGAAAGCTGGCTGGCGCTAAGCGGTAGGGCGCAACTGGGGTGCGAGGCGTTGGCAGCCATAGCCGGGCTGCAGAAGGGCGCAAAAGGAGGTGAGGGCGTAGGTGGTCTTCGAAAGGAGGAGACGATGAGTGGGAGTCAGGGAAGAGAAGAGGGGAGCGAGTGAGTACTTACCAGGCGTGCGAGAGGAGGTTGGCATTGTTGTTGACGTCAAGCACGCTGGTCTTCAAGTCGTCCTGGTCGCGCGTCATGCTGTAGTTGTAGGGATAGGGTGTAGAGTAGATAGGGCGCCCGGCGCCATTCGAAGTGAGAGCTACATTGGGTTCTAATGTTGGTGTGGCCCTTCAGGCTTGGACATTGACTCTCGATTTTGTTGTATCGTTCTGAATGGATGGTTTCTTGGTTCCAATGTGTTATTTGCTCTTTGCTTTGACTACATGGACTTCAGGTTGATTTGCAATTTGGATTTCTGTACTTCGTTCACACTCATGTTCCTTGCAGAACCTTCCCGTTGAACGTGGGTAGATGCATTACCGACGACTCGAGTGCAAAGCACGTGGGAATTAACTTTATTTAAGATTTTCTTTAATTTTTCCTAATCTATTTATTTTCTTTTTGACCTTTTCACTTACAATGAATCCACCTCGGATTAGGAGGTAGAAACATGTTTGATACAAGTAATGACCTTTATTTAATTTGATTAAGAAGTACGAGGAGCGGGATCCCGTCAAAGATATTGGTCAAAAACACCTAAACGCAAACATGTTTGTGGATAGGTACAGAGAATTGAAGTCAACGCGCTGGGAATTGAAATGAGGTAGCAGGAGCGCGAATGCAGAAGCAGGCCCAAGTACGTGAGATAGCAAGAAGGGTGAACGCAAAGCACGGATAGCAAGTTGAAGCAATGCGCGAGTTGATGGGCAAAGATTGCGAATGCGACTACGGTAGTAACCACAACGGCTAGCTTGGAAACAACATACAAATAAGAATGACCCAGAACACGATTCCGAGCGAGAAGTTAATGTGCGATAGCGAGAGGCAAAACGAGCGCTAGCAAATGGTGCAAAGGAAGAGCAAGCGCACAGGTGTGAGCAAGAACAAACAAGCGCTAACATTGAGAGAGCAAACGCAGGAACGGGTGCAGGCTTATGGGCACGAACTCGAAGGCGAGCATCCATATGTGTGAAAGAGTGAGGCAGCAGACACGCAACAAGCACGAGGGCACTAGCGGAGGCAAACAAGCATGAGCAAGCGAAAGACAACGAGCGCTTCAAGAAGCAAGCGCAGACATGAGAGTGAGCAACATGCCATCCTGAGGAGACAAAAATATAAAAGAGGGATCGGACGGGACGTAGAGAAAGGAAGGAAGAGAGTGCGATTGCAACGTAAGAAAGAGTGGGATTAAGGAGTAAGAAGAGAGTGGGATCGTGATAGAAGGGAAGCAGGAGAAGAACGAGAATCGAGAGATAGACGCCGCAGGGAGAAGCAGCAGGGGAAAGAGGCGCTCACCTTCTCGTTAACGCTTGCTCTGACTTTCCAAGGTAAGTTTTTTCAACTTTTCTTTATTATTTACTCTTTTCTAAATCAACGTAGAAATGTGAGTACGAGTAGGTGCAATATTCATATGTATCTAGACTAGGAAACTGACAAGCATAACTTAGCTTTTTATTTTCTTCGATCGACTTCCTTTCAACACTCACTCAACATGTTTAGACCAAAAAGTCCAAGCAGAATGAGAGGGGGAAGAAACTAGAGTGAAAACGAGAAAAGGTAACTTGAATAAGCGAGAAAGTGAGGCAGGAAAAACGCGATCACGAAAAGTGGAGGAGAAACGACCACGTTCGTCTTCCATCCCGCACAACGCGCCCTTAATTTGGCTGAACTTGGCTGTTCCCCAACCTGTATACATTTCATACTGAGTCGCAGTCATAAGCGAGAGAATAGAGCGAAAGGAATGAGCGCAGGTTCGAGCGAAAGGATTGGGTAATGAGTGTGAGTGAGTACTTGAGAAAGAACTATCAAGCGGGGCTTGAAGAAGCAAGCAGGGAGACAAGATAGAGTGGACACGAATGCCTGTTGGGAAGCCACAAACCAATCGTTTAAAAGGACAGTGCTGACCTTCACCATCGCGACTTCAAGAAGATATTTCACTACCTTCACATTCCGATCAACCTAGACAAGTTAATTATTTCTACTATTATTATTAGTAGTAGTACTGTTATAATTCACGGTTGGCCCGAACCCGAACATCCAAACACCGGACACCCGGCCCGGACCCGTGTCTGGATTAATCCGGATCCGTTAATTTGAACGTCCGATAATCCGAACACCGATCCCGGCAGCCAAACATACGGGACCGGGCGGTCCAATTATGAATCAACAGGTCTGAATGTTCGTGAAACGGTATTCACCTGCTAGCAGTAGCGAATGCAGATCCCAAGGCTCGATCCCTAAACTTTACCTTACCTGTGTACATTACCTGCGTCAACCCCGAGAGTTGAACCCGTGACCTGTGTATTTGTAACAGTTGGTAGACTGTCGTAGGGTCCGTAGGTTGTAGGGGTTCGATCTGTAGACATGTCGGATAAAGGTCTTAGGGAGTTCTAGAAGTCGTAGCTGTAGGACTTCTGAAAGGTCAAGGTCGTAGCTACAACAGTCCTAAAAGGTCAGGGTCGTAGCTGCTACACTATTCGAAAGGCCAGGACTACAGACTTCCGGAAAGTCCCAGTAGTGGCCTTTCGAAGTTGGCTCACGTCTAGACAGAGGCAAGTGGGCAAGTGGTGGAGTGCACCCTTAAGAGTCAGCGGTACCAGTCCCAATCCGTCCCAGTTCAATCAAGCAAGTACCGTATGGTACTGTGTGCACCACGGGCATGGGAAAGGGTAGACCAACGAGTTACAAAAGTATAAATCAAGAGGCAGCGCCCAGCCATTCATTCATTCCTGCGTAAGCCATGCAGAAGCGCTGCTACAGCCACTTGTGCGAGGTGGTCGGCAGTATGCCAAAAGAGGAAGTGGGCGAGAAGGAGATTTTAGCCATGGCGGTAGAGGTAGCAGCGGCCATAGCTGCCATAGCTGGAAGAAGGGTGTAGTGTATGTGTGCGTGTGTGTACAGTGTATCGCGTGTGGGATATCCAGGGTGATCCTAAGTTGAGTGTGTGCGAACAACAGAGTAGGGCGCAGTGACAAATAGAGAGTTGTATAGGCGCTGACGCGCCATAGCCATCTGAAGCGAGCTTGTATTTGAAATGTGTTCTGGGTTACCATATCTTTGAGCTTTGAGTGGGCGCTTGTCGCCGGTTTGCTGTGCCACCTGTTTACATGCATGTGAAGTGTGAAAGAAAGCGAGTCTGATTGGGAAGTTGACCGGGGTTGACCACAGCGTTGACCAAGGGGTTGACCAAGACCGTTGACCACAACTTTGACCAAGCTGGAGCCGGTATAATCTCGCCAAACCTTCAAGCCTATCCCCTCGCCATATGGATGTGCACACACCCTATGGTACTTGCTGAGTCAAGTCAGTTTATCTCTTCTTTCTGCATCGAGTCTCTTCTGTCTAGGTGATAGGACTCTGTGGATGAAGGATAGGGCATTGTTGACCAAACCCACACGGGCTGAGTAGGGCTAAAGACTGTGTCCGACGACTCCACTGTCCCAGAGGACACGAACCCTCCCAAGGACCGATACTGACCAGAGGGCTGCTCGGTATGGCACGGTAGGCCCAAAATCCGAGATGTGGGCTGCACAACAAGCCATCTAAGTCTTGAGAGGACTTGCTGATCGCGTCGTCCTGTTTGCGACGTTAAATAATTCCTAAGGAGTTACCGGGGATCTCCTTAAATGCCTCCTGATCAGCAAAGAGTCCTGTAGTGTAGGTCCAAGCTAGTGACTCTAGTTGACAGGATCCTGTCCGGATTCTGTGGTCCATAGATTGAGTCAGTAGGTTGTGTCAGTCACGGGTAGACATCTAAGTGGTGAGGAGTGGAACTAATATCTAGTTGTGCACCTGACACCATGTTGGACACGCGTAGTGGGAAGAGTACTACCCCTCATACCCAGGCTCAAGAGGAGCAATTGGCCGCCATTTTAAAAGAGAGAAAAGAGAAGGAGTTCCTCAAGCAGGCGAAGTTAAAGGCAATCGCAGAGGAACAGGAGGCAAAGAAAAAGAAGTTGGGGGAGGAGATGATGAGGTTACAGAAGGAGGAGGAAGAGAAAAGGAGAGATGCTGAAGAAGACGCAGCAGAGGAGGAGGAAGCATTGGAAGGACTCCTTAGAAGGCGTACAGGAGAGAGAGGACAAAGTAATGGCACAAAGGAAGAAGATATGTGGATGGAGAAGAAGATATCCGAATAGGTGGCTAATCTATCACTGGGAGAAGACGAAGAGGCAATGTTATATGTGGCTCAGGAGGAGCAAGAAGCAGTAGCCAGGGAGCTGGAAGCTATCGAGGACCCCCTCGACCACCAGACGCTGGAGGATGAAAAAAGATTGGAGTGGAAGTTGCATTTGGCAAGGGAGAAGAAGAGGAGGGAGGAGGCCAACCGGATGGCCAAGGAAGTGGAGAGAATACAATCGTGTAAGCAAGAAGTGGGAGCGCACCAAGATATTCCGAGCAAACTAGATAAGATCTTGAGTTATCTCGAGATTTTGGGATAGGCCTAGACTGAGCAATATCAGGCTAATAAGGGCCAAGAGGTGACCCTCCATTCCATCCGGACCGGGTTTATAGAGTTCGCGCGCGACGTGGTGACCCACGTCGGGACCGAAGTTCTGTGATGGCGCCATTGAAGGCGCCAAGGTAGTGGCCATGGCAGAGGCCGAAACGCATCCCCGCAAAGAGTCTGTCAAGCTCAAATTTCCTGACTCTTATAGTGGTATAAAGGACGATAACTTTGATAATTGGGAGGCCAGCATCAACAAGTATGTGTATTTACAACATATCGCGCCAGAGGAACAAGTCCTCGTGGCCTTCCATGTGCTGAAGGATGAAGCGGCCAGCTTTGTCAGGTCCCTTGCTCGCGCAGCCGATTGTGAGGACAATATGGTTGCGTACTCTAGGCTCACCCCTCTTCCTACTTTCCTCAAACTCCTGCGAGAGAGGTTCGCTGACGTCACAAGGGGTGTCAAGGCCTCCGATAAGCTGCAAACAATCCACTCCAAGCAGTGGAAGAGTGCAAGAGCACTCAAGGCAGTGATGGATGACCTTGTAGCCAACCCAGACCACGGGGTCACTCAGACCCAATTGGTTAACTTATTTTATCGTGCCATGCCAGAGCCCCTGCGAGAGCATTTTTTTGATAAGACCCAGCAGGCCAATATTACGTATGATGCGTTAAGTAGGGAAGTGGTCCAGTTTCCAATTTTTGGCATAAGGACTTACACAAGGGAAAAAATTGGAAGGGATGTACCATCTCAGGTCAGGTTAGGGCCAAGGATCACCTGATCCTTACTTTGGATGAGGGTGGTTCAAACGAAGTCCCCCACAGTCAGATTGAGTGGGGGTTACAGGAGGACAGTGGCATAAGTCAGGGGAGGACGTACACTGCTATCGCGGTTGGAGGGAGGCCGCAAGGTAGAGGATAGGGCCAAGGGGGTTGGGCCATGGGTGGTCGAAGTCCGGGTGCACAAGGGGTTGACGGTCAAAGGAACCGTCAGCGGGGAGGTAGGGGGTCAAGGTACCCCGCCAAATCGCTCAGGGCCTAGTCGATCGGCGCAGCGCAAAGGTGGAAGGTCACCTCAGAGGCAAGGAGGTTGGCACCCAGGTTGGCCACAGGGCCGGCCTTGGGAAGACTTGGGCTTGGACCAGCGTGTGTGGCAACATCGTATGGAGCAGAGGTAGTGCATCTATTGCGGTGACCCTGCCCATATTATCAACAAATATTGTCCAAAGTATAAGGAAGCCCAACTCGCTGCCCAGGGGTCAAAAGGCAGCCGCCAGTAGGGGTTGCAACTGCCCCTACCACTAGGCCATGCGGGGAAGTGTAGGCGCACCACCAGGAAACTCCCACACCATATGATCCTATGGCAGAGGTTGCAGGCCAGTGCCTAGTTAGCTGTCCAGAGTCTGCCTGTGTTAGCATCTCTCTAGGCACTTCCCTCACAGGTGTGGCGGAAGAATTGAAAGAAAGGCAGGCACTTAGTTGTCTAGAGGCTGCCTGTGTTAGCGTCTCTCTAGGCACTTCCCTCGGAAGAATTGAAAGAAAGGATGCCAGCCTGGGCCAAAATGAAGAAGGAAAGTAAAGGACGGCTAGTGTTAGCTGATGTAGAAGCTTTTAGAAGCAGAGTAGGAGCCCTTATAGACTCAAGGGCTACGCGCAATTATATTAGTCGTAGGGCGCTGAAGAGGCTAAGGATAGGGTTAAAAGTCCAAAAGTTAACAGACCCCATAGTCAGTGTCCTCGCCGACAACCGCAAGATGCGTGTTGAGGACTACGTAGAGGGAGTCCAAGCGTATTTCCACCTAGAGAAAGATGGGAAGGTGGAGAAGGTTCTCCATTCCCTGACTCTCCTCGTACAGGATGACCTCCCTTTTGCCATAGTCGTAGGTATGGACTGGGGAGAGGCAGCAGGGGCCACACTCCATTTTAGAGAGCACGAGTGTAGGTTCCCTGGTCCGTCAGGTGAGGTTAAGACTGCCCGCCTGTTTCATGTGTCAGGAGTAGACAACTCCCTGGCACATTGATGTCTCAGTGCTCCCGCATTTGCACGATTAGTGAGAAAGGAGCAATTAGAGGAGCAGGTCTTCGTAGCTTATATAAGGTCTATCATTGAGCCTAGAGAAGACACACCCATGGATCCAACCATTGCCAAGCTGCTGGAAGAGTTTAAAAACTTAGCAGAGCCACCGACCGAGTCGTACCGCGGCCGATCCAGCACCGGATAGAGATAGAGCCTGGCAGTAGAACTCCTAAGGGAGCAGTCTACAAGATGTCCACAAGGGAATTAGAGGAGCTGCGTAAGCAGTTAGACGAGTTCCTAGAAAAGGGTTGGATAAGGCCCAGTTCGTCTCCTTTTGGCGCACCAGTATTATTTGTCCCCACAAAGGAGGGAGAGTTACGCATGTGTATAAATTACAGGGGTCTGAATGCCATCACAGTAAAAAACGTTGAACTGCTGCCTAGGATAGACGATCTTCTGGATCGGGTGCAGGGTTGCAGATATCTTTCAAAGAGATTTAAAGTTCGGATATCATCAGATAGAGGTCCATCCTGATGACCAATACAAGAGGGCATTATGAGTTCATAGTGCTGCCCCTTGGACTGACCAATGCGCTAGCTACATTTCAGCGATGTATGAATGATTTGTCTAGGCCTTGGTTAGATAGATTCGTCGCAGTTTATTTAGACAACATCTTAGTTTTTAGTAGGACCCTCCCAGAGCATCACGGCCATTTGAGGCAGGTCTTGGAAAAGCCAAGAGAGGCTAACTTCAAGATCAATGCGAAGAAGTGCAAGTGGGCCAAGACACAAGTCTTGTACTTGGGCCACATCTTAGACGGAGATGGCATTAAGCAAGAGGACAGCAAAATAGCGATGATTAGAGATTGGCCGACAACCCGCACACTAGCAGAGTTGCGGTCGTTCCTAGGTCTGACTAACTACTACAGGAAGTTCGTGAGGAACTTTTCGAATATCGCCGCTCCCCTTCGCCAGTTGCTAAAGAAAGCAACAATCTGGCAGTGGGACAAAGATTGTACGTCCGTGCTCAAGAAGTTTAAGCGCACGTTGATAGAGTACCCTGTCCTCAAAGTAGCAGATCCGTCTTTGCCATTTGTCGTCACCACGAACGTGAGTCAGCATGGTATAGGCGTCGTGTTACAGCAAGACGGCGACAATGGCTACAGACCCGTAGAGTTCATGTCAACGAGGATGCCCTCAAAGAAGGTAAGTACCTCGACTTACGAGAGAGAACTCTACGCTCTCAGGCAGGCCTCAGAACACTAGAAGCAATACCTGCTTGAGAGGCACTTCAAAGTGTATGGGAGGCACTTCAAAGTGTATTCACACCACGAGACTCTTACGTGGCTGAAGACACAAGCCAAAATGACACCTAAGTTAACTAGGTGGGCCACTGAGATAAACCAGTACGACTTTGAGCTCAAACCGGTCAAGGGCAAGTACAATGCGATTGCGGATGCTCTAAGTAGAAGATCAAACTACTTTGGAGCTATAGTCCACTATCAGGATGTAGGGACAAACCTGCAAGAGAAAGTAACACAGGTGTATTCGTAGGACCCTATCTATAGCAACCTCCTCAAGAGAGTTAGGGAGGCCCCAAAGACGAAACCACACTATCGCACGGCAGAAGGATTGTTGTTCGAGAACACCGGCGTAGTAGACCGCCTGTGTTCCCAATAGTGAGGAGTTCCGCAGTTTGATCTTAGGGGAATGCCACGATACAGAGGGACACTTCGGTTGGCAAAAGACTCACCAACCTGATGCATGCGTACACATGGCCCTCTAGGTCTTCTAGGTCTTCTTCGACCCTTGCCCATTCCTGACCAACTTGGAGATTCAATCTCCATTGACTTCATGGACGCTGGTGTCAAGAGTAGGCACGACAAGAGCCAAGTCATGGTCATAGTTGATAGATTTAACAAATATGCAGTTTTTGTTCCTCTGCCTGCAGAGGCATGCACAGAGTAGTCACGGGATTCCGCTATCTGTAGTTGGCGATAGAGACACCTGGTTCACTAGTTAGAACTGGCAAGAACTCATGAAAGTCTATTGGTCAAAGTTGCTCATGTCGTCTGACCGGCACCCCGAGCCTAACGGTCAAACCGAGCAGATGAATAAGATCCTGCAAAAAGTTCTACGTATGTACATTAGACCCGATCAAGTAAATTGGGATGAGATGTTGCCCAAGGTAGCCAGTGCCTATAATAACAGCGTGCACTTAGCCACGCGTCGCACTCCCAATGAACTGCACAAGTCCTTTAGACCGCGCAGACCGTTTGAGGGACTTAACAAACCAGATTCACAAGTCACCACCCGGTACCAAAGAGTTTGCGATACAGCACGAGAAGGAGTTAGCTACCGTTGTAGAAAACCTCGGGAAGGCCCAACATTGAATGATAGAACAAGCTAACAAGCACCGTCGCCCGTCACAGTTTCAAGTAGGCGACCTGGTCTGGGTCAAGTCCAAAGAGTTTGCTCCTGAGGAAAACATCTCACAGAAGTTACTGCCCGCGTATAGAGGACCGTGGCCAGTTCTAGAAGTTAAGGGCGGAGAGGATGGGTCGTCCCACACAGTAGAGATCCCAGCACACCTCCACACCTACCTAGACATGGACTAAGTCACAAGTCAACAATTTCCATCTAGAAGATCCATGATCCCCCCAGACATGGACGGAAGGTACGACATTGACGGCATTGTAGGTGAAGACGTGTTTAGAACAAGAGGTAGAGGTCATCCTCAGCGTCCGGTTTGCTTATCAGAAACCAGAGGACGACCGCTGGTTTACTAGAATAGAACTTCTAGAAACAGCTCCCGACATAGTTAGAGCCTACGAGAGAGATAAGAAAGGTAAAGGTCCTGCCTTGGACCGAGTTATTCTCGGAGGACCTCGAATTCAGGCCGGCAGGAGTGAAACGGTATTCACCTGCTAGCAGTAGTGAAGGCAGATCCCAGGGCTCGATCCCTAGACTTTACCTTACCTGTGTTACCTGCGTCGACCCCTAGAGTTGAACCCATGACCCATGTATTCGTAACAGTTGATAGATTGTCGTAGGGTCCATAGGTTGTAGGGGTTCGATTTGTAGATTTGTCGGATAGAGGTCTTAGGGAGTTCTAGAAGCCGTAGCTGTAGGCCTTCTGAAAGGTCAAGGTCGTAGCTACTACAGTCCTGAAAGGTCAAGGTCGTAGCTGCTACAGTATTCGGAAGGCCACGACTACAGACTTCCGAAAGGTCCCAGTAGTGGCCTTTCGAAGTTGGCTCACGTCTAGACAGAGGCAAGTGGGCAAGTGGTGGAGTCCACCCTTGCTGAGTCAGCGGTACCAGTCCCAGTCAGTCCTAGTCCAGTCAAGCAAGTACCGTACGGGACTGTGTGCACCACAGGCATGGGAAAGGGGCAGACCAACGAGTTACAGAAGTATAAATCAAGAGGCAGCGCCCAGCCATTCATTCATTCCTGCGTACGCCATGCGGAAGCGCTGCTACAGCGACTTCTGCGAGGTGGTCTGCAGTATGCCCGAAGACGAAGTGGGCGAGAAGGAGAGTTTAGCCATAGCGGTAGAGGTAGTAGCAGCCATAGCCCCCATAGCTGGAAGAAGGGTGTAGTGTATGCGTGCGTGTGTGTAGAATGTGTCGCGTGTGGGATATCCAGGGTGATCCTAAGTTGAGTGTGTGTGAACAGCAGAGTAGGGCGCAGTGACGCATAGAGAGTTGTACAAGCGATGACGCGCCATAGCCATCTGAAGCGAGCTTGTATCTGAACTGTGTTCTGGGTTACCATATCTCTGAGCTTTGAATGGGCGCTTGTCATCGGTTTGCTATGCTACCTGTTCACATGCATGTGAAGTGTGAAAGAAAGCAAGTCTGATTGCATTCGGATTGACAAAAAAAAAAAAAAGCACAGATACACATTGCTGTAGTTGTATTATCCGACTTATTTTGAACACACTTACATACACATGGTGGTGCACAGACACACACACACACATAGACCACTTTTCTTAAGGGTGTCGCTAACTGTGGGCGACATCGTGAGACCTTATCCATCAGTTAAATGAATCCTGGGCAGACTGTCGAGGTTCAACCTCCTGACGAGTCAGTGAAAGTCCGACGAAACAGTCTAGCACAGTCATGCTTTTTTTGCGTGTATAGCGAATACGACAACACACACACACACACACACACACACACACACACACACACACACACACACACACACACACACACACACGTGCGCACACACACGATTCTCCTTGGCCCGCCGAAGCTCACCCAAGATTGCAAGTACAGGCCCTTCAGGGCCAGTTCGGTTGGCCCAACGGTGCACCAAAAAGTGCGCCAACAATTTTCGGGGGTCCACCAGGCACTGGAAAATGGCCTGGGGAATCCTTTTTTTTTTTTTTTTTCTTCGAAATGGGGCCCAACCGGACCCCTCAAACCAGACACAAGATCCACACATGCAGTCCAGACTGTCTGGATCCCGATCCCGACCACAAGTTGACAACCATGATATAATTAGTTATTATTATGATTACTAGACTAGATGACCCATTGCGGCTTCACCCTCAAAAACAAAAAAAGAAAAAAGCACAAAAGAAAGAAAACGCATAGGAAAATCGTGTGTGGCCCCAGGAAGTTGCTGGACGGCGCCTCCAGCCATAAGCGTGCCACTGATGTTAAGCAAGTTTTGCATTGTATGAATGAAACAATCAGCACTCAATCAGCACTCTCTCTCACACACACACACACACACACACAAAAGCACACATAAGGGGGAAAAAAAGAAGTACAAAAAAAATCGCTCCTCGTGGCGTTGCCATGCGGTGCGATTTTGGGCCTTCCACACTCCACCATAGCTTTTCCCCCCTTCCTCGTTCCCCCATCTTTCCCCCATCCATGACTTGTACCGCTATCACTCCCACTCTTCCCCTTTGTCACTGTACCATCCTTACCCCTTGACTGTCCCTTCCCTCCCATGACGTTGTGCCATGCTTTCCCCAATTCTCACGCGCCCCTCTTCATTCTACGTCTCCCATCAATCCATTTGTGTGTGCCTCTCTCTCTCTCTCTCTCTCTCTCTCTCTCTCTGACCTCCTCCCTTGCTCACCCAACCAACCTCTGCCCTCCCTCCTCCTTCCATCTGCCCGAGTTCACCCTGCCATCTTTCCCCTTCCTCCCGCCCTCCTTCCACTTCCTCCTCTTCCTCTTCACACTTTCTCCCATGCTCGTCTCCCCCTTACCTCTTCCCTTCCTCCATACGTGACAACCTCTAAACTGCGTTCTGCTTTATGTCCTCCCTTCTCTGGACCTTCTCTTAAACATCCCTCTTCCCTCCCTCGCTTGGCCAGCTGACTCCCCTTTCTTCGACCAAGCTCCGCCTGACCTCCTTCCCTGTATCTCCTCCGCCCTACTCCTTCCTCTGCCCAATTTGGACTGACCTCATCCTTCCCCAATCTCCTTCCTCACCGTCCTTCCATGGCTCGATCTCCACCCGACCTCCTACTTCCGCCCTACTGCCGCCTTTCCCCTCCCTACGGACCTCCTCCGCACCTTCTCTTCGACCTCCCTCTGGCCTCCGTCAGCCTGGCAAATTCATTCCCCTTCGCTTGCCCCCTTCGTTCGCCTGATCTCTGTCTGGCCTCCTCCTTCCCAGGATCTCCTCCCTCCCCTTCCTTCCTCAGCCCGATCACCACCTGACCTCCTACTTCCATTCCTCCCTCCGTCCTACTCCCTACCTCCCCCTTCCTCCCTCGACCGGTGTCGGAGGGCGCGGTGTCCCGGCCCTGCTTTGTGTGCCAAGTTCTTGCCTGGCACCAGTGCTTCGGACAGATGCCGCGGCTCTCTAAGCTGCTACTGGACCACCGCGGCTTCTCTGATATACCTGGGTGGTGCCATGACACAGACCGGTTCGGTTGGTGCTTGCCCTCAGCAAAAGAGGTTCGCCACTGGGCTTTCCATTGGTCCACGCAGGCTCGACGCCCTGCTGTACAGCAGAGCATTACCGGCCTGTGGCCAAGGTAGCCGCCGGGTTCGCCCAGGGACGCGAAGGTAGAGGGATGGGCGCGGTCTTTTCTACTGCGCGCCAAGTGCCCCTCTGCCAGGTTATGGGCTAGATGCTCAAAGTTGTCGTCGCTGTCAGGCAAAATGGGACCAGGCAGGTACCCAAGACACCCACTCTTCTTTTCTGCTGTGTACAGGATGTTGTCCACATGCTTTCACTGCAGGCCAGGTACTAGTCTGTAGGGCCGCGCGGGACTGACATGGTTGTTGGGCTTACCTGTGGTGCTGGGTAGGCTTGATTCCTGCCTTGCAATGGGTCTGCAGTCGAAGTGACCGTTGCGTCTGGCAAGGTTCACTCAGTCGTGCATCGGGGCCCGAAGGTCAGGGCAGTTACTCATAAGGCCGCTCCAAAGAGAAAAGA